GCAGCTAAAAAGGATTCTGCAGATGAGAAAGAAAGATCCAAGTGAGGAGTAAGAAGATAAAGATGAGTCATTTCACACAACCAAAAATGATAAAGATCAGATTAAAACTCAATCAGCATCACTACAATAAGTAACAGAGAAATTACACCTTTCCAAATGCGGAAGGATTTCTGATTGATTGGTGAACCAGTTATTGTCTGAATCACATCAAACAGCATATTTTGTGGAGTGCTCCTGAGCTCCTGAACAACCCCATATATAGTTTTCCCATTTTCAAAGTAAATGTGATTATTGGGGTGCTTGGTCTTACGACCAGCATGACGCTCAAACTCATATGCATTAATAACCTGGGGAAACATAAGATAGGTGTGAGGTGGAAATTTGGCTCAAAGAGGGTTGCCCCTCTATGATGTTTAGTTAACAAGCTTACCTTGGAATAATTACATGACTGGCAGCTGCATAAATACCCAGACCCTTTTATGATACCACGAAGTTCCTTTTAACAAGCATAGGAAGAACCCGAAATGAATCATAGATAAGCTATTGTGAAAGATGAACTCATGAGTACTAAAATTTACCTCCCGTGACCAGGCCATATACTTCACAGGGACTCCATCCAGCATACCAGTGGACAGCAAACTTCTGACATTAGAAGGGAAGTTATTTGAAGGAAATTTCTTAGACATTTTTGATTCCTCTTTTGTCTGGGAAACATTTCCAGTTCCAGAAACAGATGTCAGGGAGGCACTAAGAAATGAGCCAGAATTAGAAAGAACCAACTCTTTCTCATTCACAGCTTCCAATCTCTGTGTAGGTGGTTGACCCATCATCAGTTCATAGTTGGATATGAGTCTGCCAGAGGGAGTTATACTAACATGACCATCATCATCATCACAGCCACCAAAGGATATAATTGTGCTTTCTCCATTGTTATAAGAATAAGCAATTGATAACTTGTTATTTCTATCCTGGTGGTATGCATGATTCACTGAAATGGTGCCATCCTCCCCCTTATTAAATATGTTATGCCTTGAAATAGAATTATCCTCTGCCTTGTCATAAGCTTGAGAAATAGACATATTACTATCCTCCTTGCTGAATGCCTGGCCCATTGATATCGAATTAGAAGGCTCTTTGTAGGTTTGACCTACAGATAAGCCATCGTCTCCCTTGCTATGCGATTGACATATTGAAATCAAATTGTTGTATGCCCTGCCATAATCATCATCCACGGACACAATATTCTCATCCCCTTTGTTGCAAGTGAGACTTGTTGATGTAGGATAATCACCCCCCTGTGCACATGGGGATTTGACAAAGGGTTGTTGAATCTCATATCATAGGTATGAACTGGAGGAACTGACATGACATTCTCAGAATCCTTCACCTCACTAATTTTAACCTTTTTAATTCCACCGTAGTTTAGACCTGATCCTTGATCGTCAATTGCATGGGTCATAAATGAGGAATAGCTTCCAAAGTGATCCATGTTATCCTTTTGTCCTACAGTCAATTTATCTGCACTAAGAGGGGAAATATTCCTGTTTTCACAACTCAAAGCCCTAGCTGAAGCATCTGGGTCGTATAATTGTTCGAAAAAATGACCACTGAATGAGTGCAAACTTGAGGAATTTCCACAGAATGGTTATTGGAGCTATACATTCCTGATAACAAATTATTGCTTGAAACTTCTACTGCTTGTTTCTTTCGTGGAAACAGATCCACTTCAGGGTTATCCATGAACCACTGATGAAAACGCTTGGACCCCACTCTAGAAGAATTGTTATAAGTCATGTCACCATCATTTAGACTCCCAGCAGTTTTTGCCATCCAAGATTCCTGATTATGAAAAGACTGCCAAAAGAAAAGTCATTATTAGAGAGACACATTCACCAAATAATTTCGAAGAGGAAAATTGTGAATGATATATGCACACTTGAAAAAAAAAAAAAGCATATAAATGCATATCATAATAACCATACAATAAAAGTGGTCCAGTGGAGTTAAAACCATGGAGAAGAACAAGTATTGCATGAAACCTCATCATTAATGATAGCAATGACCCTTAATATAAAATTTTACAATGATAATAAATCTGAGCCCAAAACCTGTCTGGAGATTTGGGATGGAACCACGGTGAACTAATCTAAGTAGGATCAGAAACTCTTAGTGTATATGCCTAATTATGGAAACTGTTTAAGGGATATCCTTGAATTAGAAAACATTAATACCTCAGCTACTAGTTCAAGAGGTCGTCGTTAGGTATTAATCCTCTACTGCAACTTTATACAACTTCATATAATAACAGACAAATTGAGGATCCCATCTCTCCTCCTTACAACAAATCCAAAAAACACCTCGAGTAAGATACTTGTTCTCAAAAATCGCTTCTCTCTGATTCTACTTTTTACTTTACCTCAGCTAATTCAGAGAGCGCTATAAAGATTTTTAAACACAGTTCAGCACCTGATACTATATCTACAGAGATCTCTCTTCTCTAAAAAGGGGGTGTACTGTTAATTCTTTTCTTTTCTTTTGTTTTTTTTTTTGAATAACGGGAATACTGTTAATTCTTGCAAGGAAGACTTTTTGAAAATTTCTTAACCACTGCAATACTTTGTAATTTCTCCTTTACCTTAACATGAATTAAAAAGGAATACTGAGAACTCTTGACATCTCTCTCTGTGTGTGAAAAAAAAATACGTTAACAACGGCTATGGATAGAGATGTTTTAAATAAACCATCACCAGTGAATTACAACTAAAAATTAAGATGAACCACACGTTGTCCCAGGCAAATCTAAATCTCCATCACAGATTTTCCGTACCCTACTGTGTCCCTCGTGCTCTTGAATAACGAAAAATGCATTTACATAAGTATGCCTATGGTAAGTATATTATCCTTGTTACATTTTCCTCTCACAAAAATTCCGATTGTAGCTGAAAGTGGACTGGACCAAAAAATATGCAACAGAAAATTTGAACATCTCAAATTTCAGACCTTAAAATAGATGCATTTCAAACGTTAACTTGAAATCACAAGTTCCGTAAACATACCATCTCCCTTCTCCTCCGCAAGTTTATTGCTAATGAGACAACTCTTGATATATAAGTCTCTCTTTAACAAGCTTGTCATCAACGAACTTCTCACTGAGTTGCAAGCAGCAGTTTAAGTCACTGAGAACCAATGTCCCCTCCCCTTCAACTCAACAACTTGCCTGCCGATGAGCGGACCCAAAAAAAAAAAAAATGTTACTTTGAAGTGAACTAAAAGGCAAAAACTTTATATAGTTGCATGTGCTGTTTTTTTCCCCCTCAAAGCAATCAAAGTGTGAAATATAAAATTTCATATATGTGGAATCAAATATTTTCAGTCAGGTCAGGCAAAAGGAAATCACAACCCACAGTGGAACTGACATGTTTTTGCTTTGAATGAAGAGGCAAAAAAACAACAACATTGCAATGGCCCTTGGATGCCTATTTTATTTGTCACCCCTCATTTGCTAGGAAACAATGAGCAGCAGCGGCAGTCATTGAAGTTGGAAACCCTAGCTAGGCCACCAAGGACAAGAAACGAAGGATCTCTAGATACATACCCTCACAGCCACACGATCAACGCGTAAACACACCCAACAATATGGCCATCGGAGAATGACCAGAAAAAGCGCCGGAAAAAGCACGGACGCGGTTAGCGGCGAGATCTAGCAAGTTCGGGGAGGTCAGATGGGGAGGAATATGTCGACGAGGGGAAAGTGAGAAGATGGTGGAGCGCACGATGGCATGGAGGGAGGCGCCATCGGAACCGTACACGTGGTACGATGAAATACTTAACGCCGGGCGGTAACGGTTGAGGTGGGAATCAGGGCGTGATCACCATGTGCGGCTGCTTCATCTAACCAGCTTCCATGCTACGAAACCATGCTCATGCCGTCCACGTGGTAAAACATCATTGGTGGAGAAGGGCGGGTAACGGTCTTACCAGCTCCATGTGTCCTGCCTTTAACTAATGCTTCCTACAAATCATTCTTATCAATTTTATCAATACTAATATAATAAAAATAAATAAAATTTTAAACATAATTTTTAAATAAAAAAAATTAATTATATCATATTATTTTTTTATTTTTTTCTCTTTTATTTTTTAAAAATAATTTAAAAATTTTAATTTAAAATAAAATAATTTTATTAATAAATGATTTATAAAATGGACCAATTATACTTTTAAAAAGTGACTTATATACTGGATCGGAGAACTTTTAAAAAAATTAAATTTTTTTAATTTTAAAAAAACTATTTTGGCTGTATTAAATAACTTTTAAAAAATGTCCTGCCTTCTTACATGAACAATAAATAGAGGTGAAAAAAATTATAATAAATAATCATCATAATGTCTTATAAAAAAAGAGCTCAAAATCTCTCTTTCAAAAATATATAAATAGGATTGAACGGATTAAATTTATTTGGGGGAAAAAAACACAATCAGAAAGTCTACGCAGAGGGTGAAAAAATAAGAGTTGAAACATGTGAATACATGAATGTTCATAAAATTTATTATCTTTTTTTACCAACCATAAAATTTATTATCTTTAAATGAAATACTTTCTGTTGGGGAAAGAACAAAATTGGCTCAGCATTTAACGAATAAAGCAACACGCAATCCAACTGCCTACCTGTGGAATGTGGATTGCTATTAGCCAAACTTATTTTAAATTGCTACTTGTCATTTTTTATGCTGATTTAATAAACCGTCGATTACTTCGTTCGACAACTACAGCATTGCAACGCGAAACATCCACAGCGCAGCGTAAATTAGGGTCCATCTTGTTCATCTTCGAATTATTATCGTCATATTTATCATCTGAAAATGAAAGGACAACAACTAGAGTTGAGATTAGTTGGCGATTCGCTTATCTCATTTGATCAAACGCCGATTGTTTATATTGAGACCGACATACTCGAACCAAATAAACAATCACAAATGTTAAGCTTGCTCGCCTCAGATTCGTCACAGAAGAAAAATTTCGTGCGTTGAAATTTGAATGATGATCACAAAGACACAAACCAGACAAAATGCCTCAATATGTCATCAGTTTTTATATACCCTTGCCTATTTCTTTCAGCCTTGAATCAGAAAGAATGGAAATCATCATTCCTCGAAGCAAAAGCTGAGCTAAATCCTAAAATCTAATCAGCTTTTACAACAGCCAAGCTTTTGCATAATACTATATAATATCCATACCCAATATTATTTAAGAAAAGAAAATATTTATAAAAAAAAAAGAACACGCATGACAAGAAATGCCCGCAGAAGCAGGCGCCTCTTTCTCCGATTCTTCACTGTCCTGTCTTCCTGTCTTGCTTCTGAGTTACTCCTTCGCTGCTCCCAACACCTTCTAATCATTGTCACCTCAAATCTCTAGACTATGTACAAAATGTTGCTATTACTCACTTGTGAAAATTTTCATTGGTGGGATGCTACAAAGTTGTCACGCCGAGGCTCGCATGTTCCAAGTAAAACTGAGGAACACACCCATGCCCATCGCTGAAACCCTTGGCCTTGCCAAGCTTAGTGTTATATATAACCTTGTCAGGTGTCATCAATCAAGTCAGAACCAGGGCTCCTCCGCACACCTATTCAACTATTTGCCCGTGTTAGCAACATGAGCTGTTCCTCTACTTGAACCTTGGCTGGGCAAGTCGATGACAAGGCTGAAGCAGCACAGGGAATTATCTTCTTGCTCGTTAAGTCCACTTTAACTGAGAAGAGTGAATACACTGGCCTGTGGTCTGAGAATTTTGACTCTCCTCGCACGTACCACATCTGCTTCAGGCCTTCTCCTTTCCATAGGATTCTATCGCACCTGAAATAAAAAAAAAATTGTTTTTTTTTTTGAGATATGGGGGTTGCATTGCACGTGATTTTTTATTGAAAACAATGAGGGGCTTCGGGTTTTTAATCTTCAAGCTGGCAGGCGATGCACCGTCTTAAACCACATTGGATAATACGAGGAATCGTTGCTAATGATAACATTGACACGGTACTTTGTTTATTGATGATCACGCTTGTGGTTGACTAATTGGGAATTAAACACAGGCAGACAAATTATATCAATCATCACTTTTTAAACAAATGCAAATTGCTCTATTTTCAAAATCACGACCACAATATTAATCAAGACGCTTGCTTCTACTGGCACGGTTCAGGCCCCCTGGCAACTTGCGATAAATTAAATAAGCAATCATTTAGAAGACAGAACCACGCAAGAGAAACAGTAATACAGTATGAACTATGGATATAATACAGTGGCCAGCAAAAAGAAAAAGGTAAAAGAATAGACTTATTATGATGAAGGAGTGATGTAATCTTACCAAGCAGGAGTGCGACGTTTTTCCTTGGATTTGGAAGTATGGACGACATAGCGATCTGAATTGGCCAGGTATTTGTAAGTAGGAGCGAAAGATATCGTTCCTTCATTCCACCCTTCAAATACACGACCAGCTCTCTGCTCTATCCTTAGCTGCCAATCAAAGCCAATCCAACATCAGAGAAGAACTAAAATATGTTATTCCACGAAAGGGCTGAGTAACAATACTCAGCTAGTTACCTGATCCTTCTCTAAAAGTGCCAGCCAATCGCTCTTCTCCAATAGCTCACATGTATAGTCATAACCAGAAGCTAACCGATAATTCAAATCCCCAAGCCAAACAATATTGCTGCACATGCCAAAAATGAAAGGAAAGGGCCAATCAGAAATTATAACCATGATCAACAGACTGTTCCAATGTATGAATAACAAAAAGAAAGAAAGAAGGACTTACTCGTGTTGCAAGATGGTCTCAGGAGGGAGTCGAAGATCCCTATAATTCGAAGGGTGGGAAAATTTAGTTCTCTTCAAAATTTCGGAGACATCGAAGTTTCTTCGCACCTCATCGCCGTCTCTCTCTCCCGAAGTTAAGTGGGTGCATACGAAACAGAAGGATGTGTGGTACAATGTCATGCTAATTGATATAGAGCCCTGTAATTAAGGAAAGTTAAGTGTGATTAATCACACTGCAGCTCTAGACAAGTAGGAGACAACATTGGTCCAAATAATTAACCTTATTCCCAAGATAGCCCATGATGCCCCTACCGACGCAGGACACCTTCAAATTGGAAAGGTGTCCGTAGAGGTCGGAACGAACCCACACGCACAGGAAGATACCGACCATTTGTTTGCTTGCTGCTAGGCAATAGCGTCGTTTAAGATGTGGGCTACTGCTACAATGTCTGCCACTCGTAGAAGGCGAAGGAGAGTTTTCAGTTTCACCGCCACAACTGGCATTTGATTTGTCACGAGACAATTCAGCAAATTCTTCAGCGCCCAGCTCGTCCTCTGAAGAAAGAAAGTCCGAGAAACTGAACCTCGGCTTCGTTCTTCCTAGTTGATCGGCGCCCTTGTCGTTGCAATTCCGAGAATGAGGGCGAGAATTCTCGTGATGGAGGTCTTGGTCAAACCTCTCAGTGTCCAAGGCTTGACGAATCAGGGAAAGCCATTTGGCCGCGGGGCCACTGTCCTCTGGGCCAAGCACGTTCCCTGCATTCAGAGGCACGATTTCTTGGAACCTGTAAAACAGACATTACCTTGTAACCACTACAGAACCCAGCCGGAGGAAGAAAACTACATAATTTTATTCATCAAATTGGACTCTTTTTTTTTTTATCGTTTAATGACTAGCACGCATGTTATACAACAGCACATAAATCTTCATACATGGAACTAGGCCCTATTCGGGGGATCATATAAGCTAGGGCACGTTGATGTTGTGTGTGACAGTGCCACAGTGCGGTTAACGGCAGTGAATGTACAGTGTACTACTCCTCTCTTCTTAACGGAGAAGATAAAAATAAAAGGAAGTAAATAAGAGGGTAAGACAATGCTCTCTGAGTGGGTCTCAGTCATTCAATAACACACTATCAATTGAAGTTGAAAGTGAAAGCGATAGCTTGGAGTCTTGAGAACTGAGATATACCCAATAACGAAGATGTCTGCTGGTGAAGGAGACTTGAGCCATTCCGTTAAGCTGAGGTTGTCGTTCGGTGACTTCCCTCCGAGGTTCCATGTCCCCACGAACACCCTACATGGATTTCCATTTTTCCTATAAGTCAACATTAACAGTCTTCTTGAATAGTTCTATATATTCTTAACTATCCGATTTCGAAGGGATGCTCAATGTTTACTTGAGGTTAAGAGTATCCTCGACAGCTGTTGCCTCCTTATACGTGGAAGGTCTCGGTCCGTAGGGAGATCCCACCAGCAATCTCTCTATCAAAATAAAACCTCAAATCAATACAACAATGGTGGGAAAAAAAAGAATAAACCAGGAAACTTTTTCAGAAAAAAAATAAAGGCAAGAATATCTTAGTGTAGCTAAACCTACACCCTGAAGACTCTCGTGTGGGTTGCTGATTGCTGGAACTAAAAACAGAGATCACCGGAAAATGACCGTCCACGTGGCAAGCCCCTTGGGGACCGCGGGAATTTCATTTTCAGGCATGGACTCACCCAGCCCTCCCCCTAAAGTCACCAACTTGTGTTCCATATCTTATCATATCAGCCAGGCCGTCCATCCAACCCATCACGCTCAGACTTGAAATATGTAAACGTAACGAAGTGTTGGTCGGTAAATCACCTGAGAAAGAGAAACCGTTCCTGACGACGTCGTAGCAATCTTGGTCTGAGCAGCTTTTCCTTCTCTCGCTCTTGGTTCCTACGGCCACCACCAGCAGCACCAACAACTTTCAAGTTCTAACCTCAATAATCCCAAGAGAGAAAATACAATTACAAAATCAGAAGCCAAACTGTAACTACCTAACGCAGAGAAATCTGGGCGAAACTTGGGAGCTCCATTTCTTCGATTCAGCCACTTTCTCTCCAATAATTTCGTCCAAGAAGACTGAAATGGAACGCAAACGGAAAATGAACAAAATATCGTCATCAGAGAGAGAGCCCAGATCGCTGAAATGATAATACTCCGACGAGTAATATATTATGGGGTGTATACCTTGGATATTTTTCTCGGCTCTGTTCTCATTGTTGATGTCCTTCCGATCACTAAAGACGAAACCATAACAAACAACAATCGCCGATTAGAAAATGCCATTTCAAGCGAAGGCGATTCGAATAATTAATTTTAATATCAACTGCAGAAAGTCTCCACGAAAATTAAAAAATTCTTTTGGGGCATGACAAGTTATTGTTAGAAATGGTTTGAATAGTGCTGAGCAGTTTTCAATGGCAATATAAAAGGCCCAATTGTAGGGGAAATGGAGACAGCTTCTGAGTCCAGAACGTAGGCGGAAGAAAAAATAAAGAGAAAGGAAACGTTGAGGATATAATATAGAAGAGAGAGAACTAGAGAAAAGGCCAGGTTCATCCTTTTCTTCCAAGAATAGTTGTTTGGAAACTCAAGTATATGGTGCTTTACAGAGGGGATGACAGAGTGGAGGGATGAAGAGTTAAACAAGTAAAAAGATTTGGGATTCTTTATTTGTGTTCATGCTTCGTAATCATCTCAAAGTGAATGGGAGATCTCCATCACATCTTTTCTAAAGGTGTGCCTTTTCTGACTATTCTGTTTTTCAGAGAAACAGCATCAAACAAAACAAGAATATGCAGGTTAACTGGTTTGAGGAAGGCCAGACACAAAAAGAAGCGAGTTTGCACAAATTAATGAAAACAAATCAATCTAACTGGACACAGAATCAGATTCCTCAAATATGGTTCACTGTCTTGCGAGTATTGAAAATAAAACAAAAACCGTTAATCCGAGAGATTCGACGACACGGGAAGAATAGGAAAAAAAACATGACAGACAAAGCAGGGCTTGATGAATAAGCAAGGCAGGAATACCGAACAAAACAGCAAAGAAACATTCTGGTACCGTGGGTCAACGGCATTGCTATTCAGAGGGAGATGCCGGAGAGTTTGAAGAAGGAAAACGATGGGTAAATAATGAAGGGGCAATAGTCAGCCACAGGAAATTGAAAAATATGATAGATCAAGCAAATTAAGAAGTAAGTGGATGTGGAGGAGAAGGCACTTACAAGAATGAAGACTGAGTTTTGAGTTTTGCAGAGAATGATGATCAGAATTGAATCTTTAGAATGGAATCCCAGGTTTCATGCTTTTTTATGGTTTTCTGGTCGAGAAGGAGGAAGGAGGGATGGGTGATCCAGTCCAATAGCTTAGTTTTGCATTACTTGATTGGAGAAGGTGAAGAGAAAGAGGTGGTTTGGACTTGGAAGCGTGGCGTTCCTCGGAAAAGCAAAAAGGGTCACTTGGTTATCAAATTTATATTGTGGGTAAGGTGGGAGGAGATGGAGACTTGAGGAAGAAAGATTATTTAAAAAGAAAAAAGAAAAAGAAGAAAATGTTAAGAAAACCTTGAAATTTGAAGTCCAGAGTTTCCATAAACGCATTATTCTCGGAGTGGGTATTTTGTAATTTCGAGACTGTGGAAAGCAAGAAACCAAGAACCGTGGCAAAATTGGCTCAGCATTTAACGAATAAAGCAACACTCAATCCAGCTACGTACCTGTGGAATGTGGATTGCTATTAGCCAAACTTATTTTAAATTGCTACTTGTCATTTTTCATGCTGATTTAATAAACCGTAGATTACTTCGTTCGACAACTACAGCATTGCAAAGCGAAACATCCGCAGCGCAGGATAAATTAGGGTCCATCTAAAAATTATTTATTTTTTAATATTAATCAATGAGCTCATAATCACTAGAAAGTGCATGTGTTCGATGCTAGTAAAATTTGATAGGTTAAAAAATATAAATAATATGCCTTGCGATCTGCTGAATAGAAATGCTTGAATATTATAAAATCTTAATATGTCAAACAATGCATAAATTCATGTTATGTTGATAGAATTTTAAATAAAAATTAATATATCAAATAAAAAAAATTGGTCAGTCTGAAGACCTGGAGTCTCTGTCCATTTGATTCCTTGACATCCGTATTTCTTCGCTGCTGGACGACTTGTGGCGTGGGGGTGGGAGAAAACTAAAAGGGGAATATAATTAAATTAAAGGGGTAATATGGGGACTAAATTTTCATATATCGGTTCACCAGATGCCAAAAGCAGCTCTGAGTTTGAGATCCGTTTTATTTTATAAACGCCCATCTGAAATTCAGGGAAGGTTTGTGAAAACTAAGAAGTCCATTTTAGATACCGTTTTATTAACCAAACATCAATTGATATGAATGTCTAATTCAAAATAATTATTAATTGTTATATTGAAATTTTGTCTTGTTCATTTACAATTTCATTGAGTTACTAATAAGTAGTTAATTATTTTAAAACTAACATTATCTTTTCATATCTACCCTAATTTAACAAGGAGTCTCACTTAAAAGCAAATGCAAGGTGATAGGTTGAGTCATTTATTTATTAAATGCATTTTTGTGAGAGAAAAAAAATTATCAATTATGTATTAAAAAACTAAAAATATTTCATATTTTTCAACATTCAATGAAAAAATGTCTTACTATAATTTTTGAATGAAGGGAGTACTAATAATCATGTGTGAGCCATTTTTCTCTTTATCCATAAAAATAATGACAAGCATAGGAAGTGTTCATTTATCTGATAAATAAAACAAAATAAAGTTTTCTACAGCATTAATCAGAGTATGTATCTTCAGACAACAGACATTTTTGAAAAAGAGAACATACATAGAATGTACGTACAGAATGAAAATAAATGCGCAGAACCGATCCTTTAATCGTGATAGCATCATAACAATAATTAACGGAAATAAATTATAAACACGATGAGCCAGCGAGACAGACAACGACTAACATATACGGAAGGAAATAACTCGATGCAAAAGGTAACGAACGCGTTGAGAGCGACGAGAATGCGGCATTATAATGGCCACAGCTGTGGACGTTGCTGTGAATTAACCTTCGCTGTGCATGCAATCTCGCGTCGTGTGTAAAATGGTCAGTATGATTGACATAAAAGTAAAATTAATAATCAGATTGAAAAAACCAATTTCATAGATAAAAATAATATCCACAGATGAATAGAAATAAAAAAATAACGAGGATAAAAGGTAGAGGAAGGTGGGTAAATGAGTTGAACTCCTAAGACGATCGAAGTAAGTCAAATAACGTGAGGAACTTGGGTGAAGAAGGAACGTGGGGATATTGATAAGAGAGTCGAATAATTAATTAAGGACGAGGGTTGGGTCTGAGGAAGAAGTAGGAGGCCATGTGTACGAGAATGGAGAACACTACGATTACTATTGGACGGACGCACGGCAGATCTGAAACTCGCGACACCTGTGCGTTCCCTCTTCTTTAATATCTCAATAATTCTAATTACGCACACCTCCATTCTCCACCCTCTCTACCTGCTTCTTATAGCTCGACAACTTGTTCCTTCTTATAATTCACATTTCTCCACCATCATAACACCAACCAAACCAACAACCAGTCTTCCCATTTTTAGCCCACGCATCTTTTTTCCCTGTTCTATTCAACGAACATATGAGGTTTTTTTTGCCCTAAGTAGAAAACATTATATCTTAATGGGAACATTAACTTTTTAATTATTATAATTTTAACTCATTTGAAACTCATCAGTCTCTTAAATATGACTTGTACACACTTAATCCTTATACTTTTGATTTGCTTAAAACTTAATCCCAATCTTTTTATCATTTAAACTTCACCATAACTCATCCCACGTAGCAGTGGCCACAAGGACCAGTGCTGCTGAGTAAATCGTCGACCATTCTTTCCCTATGTCTTTTTTGTTTGTATTACATTCAAATATTAAAATCCAAACGAGCTAATTATAAAATCTGTGAATAAGCAGATAAATTTGATGTCTAGTTCTCTTTGATGAAGGAAACAGTGCGACTGAGTGAATCGTCGACCGCAGAACATCCTTCCAAGGCCCTTCGTTGTTCCTGAAATGTGAAGCGACCCATTTCGCAGCAGTCCATGAATCTTCATGGCTAGCCGGACTGGGTGCTCAAGCAGAAACGCTGGTAACATTCACCAAATAGGCAGTAGCGAAAGCAAATAACATCCAGAACTTCAGCGACAAAGGATGCCTCCATCATACCGTGAGAGGCCATCGGTCGATGGAGACAGCCCGAGCCAGGGAAAAGCTAGCAATGAACTTTGAAGACACGAGTCACTATCTCGATTTTTTTTTCTTTGGGAGAATACTGAACCCACTCGATTTCCTTCTACAATTTTGTTATCTTCTCCTTCTCCTTCTCCTTCTGTTCGATTTCCTCTTCTATTTATCCTTCTTTTATTTCTTTTTGGCATGTTTTTTGCCACCTGCTGCTGATTCATGATCTGATGTGGAAGCTAATTCATAGTTTTTCTGCCATGCAAGGTGAATCATCAATGATGAGTCATGGATGACAAGGACAAAAATAAAAACAATGCAAAGATTAGGGACTAAGTTTTAAGTAAATTAAAAATTATAATAAATTATACTTGAGAGATTGAGTTTTAAACAATTTATAACTAGTAACCAACCAATTATTTTTCCCTATCTTAATTCAAAATTTAAAAAGACGGGCTTGTAAGTCTTTTATTTTATTATTTATATAAGTATTAACCCAAATTTTATCTTATGCAAAATTTTCTTTAATTAAACAAGTTCACTTGCACTTGAATATTTTAAACAATGGATACCGTTAAGAGTTATACTTGTCGTGCATCTGGTTACCATTACTCAACAATATTTTGTGCATTTTCTTCTTCTTTTCTATTTGAGGACATAGATTAACGATCTTGATATTTAAAAAATTTACAAGCTAAAGAGCTGAGACGCTAACACCTAGACGCCGGGACCTAATTAAGAGTATAACATGCAAACTAAGAATCATAAGAAAACAAGATAAGTGATATATAATATTAACATAGTTAATAATAACAAATAAAAGAACCACCTCAAAATAAATTAAAAGGAATAGCAGAAGCGAACCCGCCAAACCAAAACCTACTACTTTTCATCGTGGGAGGACAAGTCATGCCTCTCTTGATGAGTCTTCAGATTATAGACGGAGTATATTGAGGTCAACAATATATGTATCACAGCGAGGGACATCAACACGCATTAACGGGGCATATAATTATATATATATATATATATATATATATAATTTATTCCGTAGCTTTTCAAAAGCATCTCTTAAAAGTATCTAGAACAAGCAAATATCAACATAAACAAATAAAATTGTTAATAATATAGTGGATGAGGAATGCCTTTCTCGCAGCTCCTGACTCGTCAAATACCAACAAAGCTAATTCCAATTCTCTGGCATACGAACATGTGTATATTGCTTACGTGCTTTTCAATTTTTCTTTTTTTTTCTGCTTTTGAAAAAACAAATACGTATCCATTATTGTCAAGATTAATCGCCAGTAGAGGTAGTGTTGGATTCATCACACGTGCCAAGTCCTGATTTGGTTGCCAAGTATGGTCAAAGTCATAGCACATTCGAAATTAGAAAATACGACATTGCAAAGAAGAGACATGGATCAACAGCACTAACAGTGTCCCAATCATATCCATTACAAAGGCGCCTATATATCACTGAGGAGTGATAGCTAGTGCTAGTAAGTGCTTCAATCATGCGACCAATTAGTTGAACAATCTAAGATAAGCCTGGGATATTTGAAAGATAATATATTGTTTTATATTTTCAGGCTTGGAATATAGTAAAAGAAGTGGACCAATGCTTAGGAACAATCTGTCAACCCTACAACAAAGCTTTGCCTTTCGAGCTCTCAGTAGCTTAGAAGATCCAAAAGATCATGCCTGTAACCTACCCCCGACGAAAAGCCACCAGGTTACAGGCTAAAATATTCATTAAACTAATCGAAATTCACACTACAAAGCGAGTAAAAAAGTTCGCTAAATTCGTGCTTTCCAGGTTATACATAGAGCATAGGCCGGGGCGGCTACTAGATAGGTAGAATCCATTGTACTTCAAATCTTACGGACAAGTTTAATGACTTGAATATGGCTTCAATTTTCCTTTTCCATTGCGATTTGGCACAGCTCAATTATTATGATTACTTTACTACTTCAATTTCATATATCTGTAATGATATATTTTAAACATAAAAAACAGGATCAGAACTTTATTTTTGTTGAATTATTAGTATCCATTTGGAGTAAGGGGTTCGTACGTTGTATTTTATAACCATGTTTAAAAGGGAGCAGTATAAAAGCGGGTAAGTGGAACCAGCGAGAATTGAATCTTTATATTAAAT